AGAAATTCTCATCCAACTCAACACTCAACTCATCTGGAGTACCCAAACCTGATTCCCCCACCCCCTAGAACTGAGGTTCTACTGAGTGATATGTGCATAACCCCATCTCTGGTCTTGGATATCATTTTTAAGTTAGACTCTCATAAGGCAAGTGGAGGTGACTGTGTACCAGCCGTTGTCCCAAGTTGGCTCCAGTCCTCTCCAAACTATACAACTATTGCCGCAATGCTTCCTGTGTTCCAGCATGTTGGTTGGAAGTCCTCCTCTATAGTCCCTGTTTTTAAGAACTCTGGAGAACCTTCTGACCTCCCTAACTACCACCCTATCAGTCTTTTTAGCAAAGTCTTCAAGGCTTTAATCAATGCTGAAGTGGTTAAGCCTCTTACCTCTCATGACCTACTCTCTGGCAAACAGTATGGCTTCCATTTTGCCAGGTCTACTGCTGATGTGCTTACAGCCATAACTGAATATGTATATCAATCTCTTGATAATAACGCCGAAGCTCTAAATATTTGTAAAGCATTTGACAGGGTTTGGCATGCTGGTGTTCTATGTAAACTTCAGGGCTATGGTATTACAGGCCGATTATTTTATTTAATCCAATCATCCCTATCAAATTGTGAAATGAAGGTTGTTCTGAATGGACTCTCTTCCATATCCTTTCATACAAATGCTGGCATTCTGTGACGGTTACACACCTGGCCCAGGGTCGGATCCTTTGGTTACGGCGCCAACGGTGACGTCGCTCCTCCTGGTCGCTCCTCCTGGGTCCAAGCGTGCGCTCCAACCCTTGGTCAGATGATCCAGCCTCGCCTTTCCCGACCCTTCCAATACCTGGTCACTAAAGCAACTATACCGATCTCCGGTCTGTCTACCCACGCTGTGTTTAGATCTTAGACAGACGGACCAGCAGGGATTTGGGCGATACAAGCTTCCAGTCCGACAGGGGTGGCAAAACACAAATAAAACAAAAACTCACGACACTAAACAAAATTGCTGATAAAAGGGTAACAACCTTTTATATCTTAATGTCCGTTACATAAAAAAAACAAAATTGTTCTCAATTCCGACCCGCTCCGTGGACTATGGCACCAAGCTTCTATCACACAATAGAAAAATGTTGAATTACCTACTTTCTAGAATCATGTATGTGGGAGTGTGGTTCAGTTCGACACTGGGGCTAATTTCTATCGATCATTCGCAGTTGATTCTTCTCTCCGACTTGAGTTGTATTTCTTCTTCTTCATCTACTTGGGCTGGAAGTTCTTCTTGTCTGAGGGTTCTTTTCTCGCTGCCGTCCGGGGATGAACTCTAACTTCTCATCGACTTTGCCGCTTGTCTGCATCTCCAATTCTTCTCAGGCTTTCAGGCAATCTTCTTCTTCGTCTACTTGGGCTGGAAGTTCTCCTGTCTTGACTTGGGCTGGAAGGATTTCTTGTCTGAGGATTCTTCTGCCCGCAAAGGGCGAAGTGAATCGGGCCTGATGGCGCGTTCAGGCTCTATCCCCTGCCCGCGTCCAACTCTCAACTCAACTGCAACTCCAACTGCAACTCCAACTCTACTGATTTCTGTCGACTGGGGTCCTGCTTATATTGACGCCAAGAACAAACTGGGGTGGGTCTGTCGTCAGGGTTTCTCGATAATTCCAAAACTGCATTAATTCTGTCTTCTCCATTATCGCTATTGTTTTCGGCCCTACTTCCTCGCAGTACCTTTGGTGGGCGACGCACATCCATCTCTTAGTCTCTCGTATGTCAGGTGACCGCTTTTCAACCAATCGATTTCCTGATCGAGCATTTCTTTCCTTTTTCTTCCGAGAGGTCACGTGATCGTATTCGACCAATTGTTATTGGTCGAACATTTCTTTCCTTTTCTTCCGGAGGTCACGTGATCGTATTCGACCAATTGTTGATCGAACATTTCTTTTTTTTCTTCCGCAGAGGTCACGTGGATCGTATTCGATCAATTGTTATTGATCGAACATCCTCCCCCTCTGTTTGCGAGGCGTGGTTACATCGTTCTTGTTTAAAAAAACAAAATCAATTTTGCCCTTTTTTGCACGTACGCAAAAATGACAATCTTTTTGGCTTTCTCTCACCTGGACTTTGTCAAACAGCCCGCTGCTAATTAGTCTTGACTTTAGAAAGGATCTTTTCCGCCTTCTTGGCGCCCTCTGTGAGCCAAAAGCAATTGTCCCCTCTTTTTACCTCTTTGTTTTTCCTGATAGTGAAAATCTTAATTATCTACATTGAAGTGTTCTACTTTATTAACGTGGGTGTCCAATTCTCTGTATATCGTTCCACTGGTCCTCCCTCAACCCAAAACACTTCTTTTCTGATTAAGATTGTTTCATTGTTCCCAAAATTTCTCTTTATCCAATGAGCCTTTCCATAAAAAAGTAGGCCAAGTGCTCTGACCGACATTCTTATCAAAATGACTTTCGAAAATCGGCCAAGACGCTGACCTAAATCTCTTTCTGACTCCTATCTCCACCCTCAATTGGGTCATGCGTCAATACATTTTCTTTCTTTCTTTTTCTTCCCTTCCTTCCTTTTTCCTTTCTTTCCTTCTTCTTTCCTTAGGATCGTCTAGTACACTCTTAGTGAATTATTTTCAACTCAGTTATTTTCCGTTTTAAAAAAAAATCAACAACCTGTTTAGTAACCGAGTAAGAAAAAATTAAATCATATTTCTATGAATATTTCTAATAATGCAAGGTGCCACAATTCCCCAAGGCTCTATCTTTGGCCCTATACTGTTTCTGATCTTCATCAATGATCTTCCTGATGTCATCAGTTCCCAAGTAGACATCTATGCAAATGATACTACCATTTACTCCTGTTTCAATAGTAAATCCATCAGAGCTGACAAAGTTAACCTGGACACTGCTCTTGAAAAGGACATCCAATCAGTGGTTAACTTGGGCAGGAAATGGCTTGTAAATTTTAATGCCTTCAAAACTAAACTGCTCTTATTTAACCACTGCAGAGTAGCTTCCCTACCCTCCATCAGCATAGTTGATGCTTGATTCCAGGAGGTTATTTTTTTTTTTGTCTCTGTGGAGATACAATACAAAGAGGAAAGCTTTTATAAGCTTTCCTCTTTGTAATGTGTGTCTAATATATATATATAACAGAGGATATCTGTCTGTGTGATACCTTTTCATTCGATCCATCCAACCGATTTTAACCAAACTTGGCACATACTTTGTACAATGTAAGAAAATCAATAACCGATAAAGCCAATCAAAAATTGATAAATTCAACTTTTTTTCTCCGATTTCATTCAAACTGTATATATAGATTACTTACATCATGACAAGCTCAATGATACCTCGTTTTTATTTCTATTTCACTGCATTTGGCAAAAAACGAAAAATTGATTTCAACACAAATTTTAAACTGAAAACTCCCTCAATTTTTAAGCAATCTAATACAAACTTCTCTCAATTGTGGCCAACAATGAATTGATCATTAAACAGTCATTTAACTTGATAATTGAATCCACCTGTATAAATAGAGAAAAATGGCAATTTTTACTGGTTTCTTATTTTTCGAATAAAAAAAAATATTTGCAGTCTTGATAAAACTAGGTACCTTGTACTTCATGTCAACCTCTATGTAATGTTTTGTCTGGACTACATATGGTTTTGAATTCAGAGTTGTTCTTTTCCTAGAGTGGTTGCCAACCGTGGCTCAATCTGTACTGCTGTTTAGCTCATAGCTTGAAGAAGACTTAGTCTATGATAGTGCTCACCAACTGGTGGTCCACAGACCACACGTGATCCATGCAAAATTTTTGATGGTCCACAGAAAAATTGGGATATTATTACAATTTTTATGAAACTCAAAATTTTCAATTTGTTTATTTTAATAATTAGACTATAAATGTGACCTTTAATTAGTGCATTTCATATTAATAAAATAAAAATTTTCCAATTATTATTATATAAATGTATTTACCTTTTCTTTTTCTTTTTTTCCTAAATTCACCAAAAAGTCCACCAAATTTAAAATTATACATTTAGGGGTCCATGAAGTTCAAAAGGTTGAGCAACCTCGATTAACCAATCAAACATTGGGCCTAATATGACCATCTGTTCTTCAGTACAGCACCACCACCTGAAGAAGCACATACAGGACTGAAATATAATTGCATTTATGTAGCAGTTTATAACATGTTTTTGTTATAATTGTTAATGGCTATTATTATTATGCTCTACTCTGTATTGAGCACTTCTTAAAATATAATGTCTGAACATTGATACTAACTAACCTTACACTTGGAGATATATATTAAAATAATAGAAAAGAATAATGAGATTTATAATTCAGAGTTCTTAGCATTTATTTTTAATGTATATATATATATATATATATATATATATATATATAGTTTATGAAAAACTAGGTAATCTGTATGGGCAAACGTAAGGAGGATAAAATCCAGAGAGCTCAATGTAAATCCAGAGCAAATAATTTAAATAAAAACAGACCACTTTAAGGTTCCATGTAATAAATTATTTCACCACAGCCCTTTTAAAAAGACTGCGGATCATCAGAGTCTGTTTTTATTTAAAATCTATATTAATCTCAAACTAAAGTAATTTAAAAAAAAAAAAAAAAATCTCAAAAGCATTACTTACTCACTTTCATTTTTAGACACTGAATTCTGTCACTTTCTGTCTTCCATAGCTTGACTGACTTTTCAGCTAACCTCATGAATATTTATGAGTGTTCCTAAACTTAAAAATTTTGAAAAACCAATAAGTTTTTGTCTTTTTATATAAAGACTTGTTACAAAATAAAATCCTTGCATTTGCCTTGATAAAGTCCCTCAGAGGACAAAACGTGTCAGCTAAGTCTTTTCTTTTTTGTCTTTATTCATATGTACATACACACAAACACATAATTTATGTATGTATGTATGTATGTATATATATATATATATATATATATATATATATATATATATGAAAACACTTTTCTTTTTATGTCTAGGATGGTGAGGCTATTGGGATTAACACGCTCAAAGTTGCTACAGGAATTTCCTTTGCTATTCCAAGTGACTACGCTAAAGGATTTTTGCACAAAGCAGAAAAAGATGATGAATGCCCAACAAAGTAAGTTCTATATAAAATGTTTTCCTTGATATTTTCCAATATCTGTCTATATTTTTGAGATGACGTATAGTAACTATTTACATTGTTCTGACTGTTGTCCTCTTTATTGCCATATTCCCAATGTTTTGGCCATTGTACACTCCAGCCTTCTTCAGGTGTTTGGAATTTCAAATTGAACCCTTTGATTTGTCCACCGGGTAGAATTTTCTAGTTCCACGTGCCATACCGCATCCAGATGTCTTGGTTATCTCCCTTTAACTTAACTCTCTAAGTTTTTGTTCACCTCTGCAGTCGGCAGGTATTGAACTCGCAACTCTTTGAGTCAAGTCACTGGATCAAACCAACATTTTTATCCACTGACCCAGTGGAGTTGTGAGTTCAATACCTGGCTACTGCTGTGATTAACAAAAACTTGAAGAATTGAGTTAAAGGAAGACAACTGAAACATCTGGAGAAGGCATGGCATGTGGAACTAGAACAATCTACCCCAGTGGATGAAGTAAAGAGCTCAGTTCAAAATTTCAATTACCTGAAGAAGGGCGGAGTATACAATGACCAAAACATCGTTAATATGGCAATAAAGATAAGGACAACAGTTTGAACAATGTAAATAATATTGATATTTTTCCTCTAACTTTATAAGAAAACTAAACATATTTTATAAAATACAAATTAAATGTAGTCTCTTTTATAGAGAATAATTGATAATGAGCTGGGGTGTTAAAAATTTCTTGGCTCAACCTATTTCCCAAATTAAAATGACCAAACATCAGGTGGAGTGCCTCTACTCATATTCATTCTAATAAGTCCACAATCTTTACAATTTATTTACAAAGGCTATGTTTTATATTTTGTGCTTTTTGCTGGCCAAAGAAAAAAAATATCAGTATTATCACTTTCATTCAGATCTCTCAATTTTTTTTTTTAATCCGTATACGGTTCAGAATATGCAAACACCAGACTGAGAAATCATTTATATTCAAAAGTATTATTAGCAATTGTTCTATCAAAAAAATTTTTACCTGTAGATGAGAAAGCTGGGTTGTTCATGACCCACTCATGCTGGACAAGTAAACCCACAAGATGGCTTGACAGTGGTCAACAAACACAAATGTAGACAGGCCAGGATTTATACTATATTAATTTACTAAGCATAGTTTAGATGTGGCACAAGGCTGAAAGTTTGGAGCATCCAGTGAGGATCTGTTATGACAATTTACCCACGCACACATGGACTCTCCCAGCTATAAGTAGGAGCAGGTACTGCCTTTTGGAGAGGGAAGTTTCCAGCAGTCAGCTTTGACAGTCGGACCGTACATTCTTGTTGCAACACTCTCTTTTGTATTACTGTTTCTGTTAATATATTTGTTTAACATGATTCCTCTCATGTGTCTTTATTTCTGGCCCTAAAAAAAGGCCACAGCAATATCAAAAAACATTCTAGTCAATCAGAATTTATCTAATATGACAAGCTTGTTAATCATTACACAGCATAGAAGTGCCCAAGTTTTTCTGGTATAGAAGTGGGGGGAAAAAACAAGTGAAAAGATTTGATTCCTTATTGGCTTTATTCAACTGTTGATCATGCCAGATTATATGCTCTCTCCCAAAAACTGTAACTACGGTCTGCTCAGTATACTTGTAGTATAAACAACCACTGTTGGATTTTTGTATGTTGAAGAAGCACAAATGAGCAAAAAGGATAATCTAACCATCCTAGTAGACTCAATAGTCTCCCAAAACTGACAGCTGTCTACTTTTTTTTTCTTTTTTTTTTTTTAAATATAATTTTTAATACTTTTTTTTGGAATCGGCATGATTCAGGACAAAAGAGAAAGATGTAAATGCCAAAGAAATATTGCTGCACTTAAACTGAACAATGAGATATATATATATATAAAAGGCTAAAATACTAATATTCCATGGTTATAATTTATTACATTGGAATCATAATAACAATCCAATTCATCAGACCTAAAAATTAAAAAAGAAGACAAAAAATATAACTCTGGGTATAAAAACACACACACACAGATTCCCACACATTTCCCTCTCACCCTTGTTTCTCACTCCCACACATACACTCCCACTGTTTTTTATACCCAGAGTTATATTTTCTGTTTGAATTTGTAGGTCTGATGAATTGGATTGTGATTACGATTCCAGTGTAATAAATTATAACCATGGAATATTAATGTTTGAGCCTTTTATATACTTGCTCTGTATTGTATATTGAGCTCTATCTGGATTTTATCCTTTTGGAAATATAGATATATACCCTTGTGCAAATTAATTGAAACAACCACTTTAGTTTCCATTCTTTCACCATATGATCAGTTTTAGACCCACTGGAGTGACAGGGTGTAATCGATTTCTATTTTTTCCTCAGATTAGGTCATTAGTAATGGTTGCTTGAACTAGAAAAATATTGTGTCATCCGTGATTGCATCTGATTTTTATTGGGCCCACACACTATTGTCTCAACTGTCGATTAGTTGTCCTACATCCATTGTCTGTGTTGTAGCATACCTATGGACAATAATAGGTATGTCCTCATTCACATAAATGCAGTAGTATATACTGTATGTTGGTTTGCAATTGGAAATTCATTGTAGAATTCACTTGACTCACTTCTAGCAGCTGACTACTTCTACACACTGCTGGCGAATCTTATATGGGTTGTTCATTACCAACCTTTGTGTGATTATTCTATTCAGGAACCTTCCCTAGGTTACAACAGCCTGCAATGGACATTACTTCAATGAAATATAGAACCCTTACCAGTGAACAAATCAAGGTACTATAGACTGGTGCAGAAACCCTCCTGATTTAAATCCAATCGAGAATATATCTATATATAATGATTAAAAGTGTCAATTGTTAGCAATTACTCTGACAAAATAATCAATTATTTGACATTAATTGTGAAAAGTGGATGGTCAGGAACCTATTTAGGCTGGATGAATTGATCCACGAGGAGGCTTAGCAGTGGTCAATTGATCATGTCAGATTATGGGCTCTCTCTCAGAAACTTTAAGTTCTGCTCAAAATAATTGCAGAAGCAGCACCAATGTGCTGAAGCAGATGCCTGCAACAAGTGTTAGTTAATCCCCATTAGTAGACTATATAGTCTTCTAAGATTTTGTAATCAGCATCATTCAGAATAATGGGGAAATATGACAATACCAAAGAAACAATGCCGTACTTAGACTGAAAAATTATATATAACAAGTAAAAGTATCAATTATTAGCAAGTATGGAATCCCTAGTGAGGATCAAACTCACCAGTCAGTCAAGATTTATCTAATAATTTTTAATACCTTTTTTTCGGAATCAACATGATTCAGGACAAAAGAGAAATGTGACCATTTCAAACAATAACATACTTGGATTAAGAAATTCTATATAATGAGTAAAAGTGTCAATTATTAACAATTACTCTAACAAAATAATCAATTATCGAATGGTAAATGAGGAAAGTGGCAAGCTATTCATTTATAAATATTCCAAATTGCTTTGAGCCAGATAAAATCTTGTGGAGTCAAATTTGGTGTGCATTATGAAGACACTTGCTTTAAACTGTTTAACTAGATTTGATTAAACTGTTTAAATGAAGAAAAAGGGAATACAAAGATAGAATTCAACAATGGAAGAAAGTTGGAGAGCATAGTAACAGAAAGCTTGTTAGTATAAAACCTACCAATATATGAAAGAACAGTCAAAATGAATTGATATATAATGTTCTTAATAAATTCATACAGTGATTCTTTCAAATTGGTGATGTTATTTTTGTTTATGTTTTGATTGCTATGTTCTCTAATCTTCACCAGATGTCTGTTGCATTAGGTCAACACTGCTGCATCACCCAGCCAATAATGAAGCACAAAATACAAAACAAATTGTACTAATGTTGTTTACATTTTCTCTAAAGAACTGATGAACTCTCTAATGTAAGGGAGAAAACTCAGTTGTTCATTTCTGTTCATCAGCATTGCAGCTGAATTCTTAAATTGATATTGAATGGAACAGCACTCTTTACTTGAGCCAACAGCATCTGTTAGTCTTTATTCCTTCCTGCACCTCTCATGTCTATTACTATTCAAATGAAATTCCACAACTCATCAGTGCATTTACATTTTACTTTCACTCTTGGTTGACATTTGCCAGGGAACAGGTGCAAGATTTTGACTGTTAGCAGAACTGCTAGAGAGCAACATTTTGATGTTTGGAAGAAGAACCAGAAGGAAATCTTGTGACGCTTGGCAAAAGATAGCCATATCAAAACAGCAAACCTTTGGTCTTGGGCATTGAGAGAGAGAGAGAGAGCATTGCTATGGCAATGGTATCATGAAATGATTTACTCTAAAGCCAGGTTATTGAGTAAGCATAGTATTGTACCTGTGTAAGAAGGTGAAGAGAGCAAAGAATTGCTCCTACACTAGGCCATGAAGGGAGCATGGTGATCTCTCAAGGTGAGACATGGAGAAGGCAAGTCGTTGCCCCCGTAGCAGGGTAAGGAGAGGGCAAGTAGTTGCCCCTATGGCAGAGAATGGAGAGAGCAAGTCGTTGCCCCAATCATGTTGCATAAAGCATTGCAGCTTATGCATGGCGTTGAGAGAGTGAAGCATTGTGCCTCATGCTGGGCGTTGTGAGAGCAAAACATTGCCCCTGTGGCAAGGCATTGAGTGAGTGAAGCATTGCCAAGGGTGTTGAGAGAGCAGGGCATTGCTGCCGTGACTAGGTATTGACCAAGCAAGCAAAGCATTGCCTCTGTGGCTGGCCATTGAGAGAGCGAAGCATTCCCAGGAGCAGGGTGTTGGGAGAGCAGAGCATTGCCCCTATGGTCATGCGTAGCATCACCCCAGTGGCCAGGCATTGAGGGAGCACATCATTTGCGTTGAGAGAGTGAAGCATCACACTTTGTAACCAGGCTGTTAACAGAGCGGAGCATTGACTTGTTGTTAGGCATTGATAGAGCATAGCAATTCCTCTGTGGCTGAGCCTTGAGAGAGCGAAGCATTGCCCCTGTGGCTGGGCTTTGAGAGAGCAGTGCATTAACTTTTGGTAGGGTGTTGAAGCTTTGCCTCTATGGAAGGGCATTGAGACAGCAAGGCAAAGCTCCTTATGCAGGGCGTTTAGAGGGCAAAGCATCGCCACTTACAGCCGAGTGTTGAGAGAGTGAAGCATCACCCCAGTATCCAGGCATTGAGAGAATGGAGCATCGCCCCTGTGGCCAGACATTCAGAGAGAGCGAAGCATCGCCCCAGTGGCCATTTGTTGAGAGAGTGAAGCTTTGCCCCTGCTGCCTGGGCATTGAGAAAGTAAAGCTTTGCCACTGTGGCAGGGCATTGATAGAGCAGGGCATTTACTTGTGGCATGGCATTGAGAGAGCGAAGCATTGGCTCTGTGACAGGGTGTTTAGAGAGTAGTGATATGTCTTGTCACAGGGCATTAAGAGAGCAGGCATTTGCCCCTCATGCAGTCTGTTGAGAGAGCAAATCATCACGCCAGCTTTGAGAAATTGAAGCATCGTCCCTGTAGCAGGGTGTTGACAGAGCAGGGCAATGACTTGGAGTTGGGCATTGATAGAGAAAAGCATTTCCTCTGTGGCTGGGCATTGAAAAGAGTAAAGAATTTCCTATGTGGCTGGGCGTTGAGACAGTGAAGCATTAATCCTGTGGCTTGGCTTTGAGAGAGCAGTGCATTAACTTTTGTTAGGATGATGAAGCTTTGCCTCTGTGGAAGGGCATTGAGACAGCAAGGCAAGCTCCTTATGCAGGGCGTTTAGAGAGCAAAGTATCGCCGCTTATGGCTGAGTGTTGAGAGAGTGAAGCATTGTTCCTGGGTCTGGGCATTGAGAAACTGAATCATCACTCTTGTGTTTGGGTGTTGAAAGAGCAAAGCATCGCCCCAGTGGCCAGGCGTTGAGAGAGCAAAGCATTGCCCCTTGTGGCCGAGCATTGAGAGTGCGAAACATCGCCCCTTTTGGCAGAGCATTGAGAGGGCAAAGCATTTCTTCTGTAGCTGGATGTTGCGAGACCAAAGCATTTCTTTTATGGCTGGATGTTGAGAGAGCGAAGTATCTGAAGCATTGCCCCTGTGGCCAGGCATTGAGAGAGCGAAGCATCACCCCAGTGGCCAGGCATTGAGAGAGCGAAACTTCGCCCCTTTTGGCTGGGCATTGAGAGAGCAAAGCATTTCTTCTGTAGCTGGATGTTGCGAGAGCAAAGTATCTGAAGCATTTCTTCTATGTCTGGACGTTGAGAGAGCAAAGTATCTGAAGCGTTGCCCCAATGGTCAGGCGTTGTGAGAGAGAAGCATTGCCCCAGTGGCCAGACATTGAGAGAGCGAAGCATTGCTCCAGTGGCCAGGCATTGAGAGAGCGAAGCATTGCCCCAGTGGCCAGGCATTGAGAGAGCGAAGCATCGCCCCTTTTGGCTGGGCATTGAGAGAGCAAAGCATTTCTTCTATGGCTGGATGTTGCAAGAGCAAAGCATATCTTCTGTAGCTGGATGTTGTGAGAGCAAAGCATTTCTTCTATGGCTGGACATTGAAAGAGCGAAGTATCTGAAGCATTGCCCCTGAGGCTGGGCGTTGAGAGAGCAAAAACATCACCCCTGTGTCCTGGCATTGAGTGAGGGACCCATTGTCCCTCTGGTCAGGCATTGTGAGAGAGAAGCATTGCCCCAATTGTCAGGCGTTGTCAGAGTGAAGCATTGCCCCTGTAGCAGGGTGTTGACAGAGCAGGGCATTAACTTGTAGTTGGGCGTTGAGAGAGCTAAGCATTTCCTCTGTGACTGGGTGTTGAGAGAGTGAAGCATTAATCTTGTGGCTTGGCTTTGAGAGAGCAGTGCATTAACTTTTGCCTCTATGGAAGGGCATTGAGACAGCAAGACAAGTCCTTTATGCAGGGCGTTTAGAGAGCGAAGCATCGCCCCTTATGGCTGAGTGTTGAGAGAGCGAAGCATCGCCCCTTATGGCTGAGTGTTGAGAGAGCGAAGCATCGCCCCTTATGGCTGAGTGTTGAGAGAGCGAAGCATCGCCCCTTATGGCTGAGTGTTGAGAGGCGGGCACGCCCCTTATGGCTGAGTGTTGAGAGAGCTGGGCATCGCCCCTTATGGCTGAGTGTTGAGAGGCGGGCACGCCCCTTATGGCTGAGTGTTGAGAGAGCGGGCATCGCCTTATGGCTGAGTGTTGAGAGAGCGGGCACGCCCCTTATGGCTGAGTGTTGAGAGATTGAAGTCTGCCTTGTCGGCGAGTAGCATTGAGAGTGCGAAACATCGCCCCTTATAGCCGAGCATTGAGAGTGCGAAACATCGCCCCTTATGGCGTAGCATTGAGAGGTAAACATCGCCTATGGCCAGTGTTGAGAGAGCGAAGCATCGCCCCTTATGGCCGAGTGTTGAGAGAGCGAAGCATCGCCTTATGGCCGAAAGTGTTGAAGGCTGACATAGCCTGCGGCCGAAGTGTTGAGAGAATGACATGTCCCCGTAGCTTGTAAAGCATTGAGAGTGCGAAACATCGCCCCTTTTGACTTGGCATTGAGATAGCAAAGCATTTCTTTTGTAGCTGGATGTTGCGAGTGTAAAGCATTTCTTCTATGGCTGGATATTGAGAGAGTGAAGTATCTGAAACATTGCCCCCGTGGACAGACGTTGAAAGAGCGAAGCATCTCCCCAGTGGCCAGGTGTTGAAAGAACAAAGCATCGCCCCTGTGGCTGGACATTGAGAGAGAGCAAAGCATCGCCCCAGTGGCCATTTGTTGAGAGAGTGAAGCATTGCCTCTGTGGCAGGGCATTTACTTGTGGCATGGCGCTAAGAGAGAGCATAGCTTTGCCTCCATGGCACAGCGTTAAGAGAGCAAAGCTTTGCCTCTATTGGAGGGCATTGAGACAGCAAAGCTTTGCCCCTCATGCAGGGCATTGAGAAAGCGAAGCATTACTTCTGTGGCCGGGCATTGAGAGAGCAAAGTATTCCCCCTGTGGTAGGGTGCTTAAAGAGTAGGCCATTACCCTGTGGCAGGGCACTGAGAGTGCAAGGCATTGTTTCTATGGCAAAGCATTGAGGGAGACCAAAGCATGCATTGATTGTAGGGCTTTGAGAGAGAGCAATGCACTATCCATATGGTATGGCATGGCATTTACATTGTGAAGAGAGTGAAGCATTTCTGCTCATGTAGGATGTTGAGAGGTTGAAGCATTGTTGCTCGTGTAGAGTGTTGAGAGGTTGAAGCATTGTTGCTCGTGTAGGGTGTTGAGAGGTTGAAGCATTTCTGCTCGTGTAGGGTGTTGAGAGGTTGAAGCATTTCTGCTCGTGTAGGGTGTTGAGAGGTTGAAGCATTTCTGCTCGTGTAGGGTGTTGAGAGGTTGAAGCATTTCTGCTTTCGTGTAGGGTGTTGAGAGGTTGAAGCATTTCTGCTCGTGTAGGGTGTTGAGAGGTTGAAGCATTTCTGCTCGTGTAGGGTGTTGAGAGGTTGAAGCATTTCTGCTCGTGTAGGGTGTTGAGAGGTTGAAGCATTTCTGCTCGTGTAGGGTGTTGAGAGGTTGAAGCATTTCTGCTCGTGTAGGGTGTTGAGAGGTTGAAGCATTTCTGCCTGTGTAGGGTGTTGATGAAAAAATGCTCCAAAGTTTTATCATCAGAATCTATGTTATCATTAAGAGGAAAATCCCAAATGTCTTTGGATTATTCAATTACATTTTTTAATCCTTTTTAGAATGTTCTAAAGCTTGTTTTTTCCATCAGCAGGCAAACTATAAATTAGAATAGGAAATTTTAGCATCTTTTTTGTAGTGAAAAACACAGGGATTTGGAAATTCTTGCAAAAATCAAATTGTAGGATTTTAATGAAACTTTCAGGTCTTATTAACTGTTATGGGATCTTACCCATAATAACATAATGGACTATTCCATACGTAATAAATACTGTGCCTCAAGAGGAAGCAGAGAGTTCCGTCTGAAGTCTGGACTGAGGTCCATCAGGAGTTTGTCAGTCAGAGCGAGCAAGTGAGTCAGTCAGTCGAGTCAGAGGCAGTCCGGAATAAGTCGCGTTCAGACAAATACTACTAAACCTGATTGTTCGTACTAACACTTTCTACTTCTCTGTATATATTCCTGTTTGTAATATATCTGTGTTATTCCATATCCACCTTCGAGTTCTTCTTTATTGGTTCTACCTTGGACTATCACCGTGGTACAAGGAACCGGACCATAACATTAACAAATAAATTATTTTAGAATTTATGAAAATATTTTTTTTACATTTTTTGCACACCCACTTATTTAATTTTAGAAAAATTAAAGAAATTCCTTGGTTTAATACTTAATGTTTATATTAGCTAAAAGTAAAAAGGTGTGCCTGGGTGTTGAGAGAGCAAAGTATCGGCCCTGTGCCTGGGTGTTGAGAGCATGAAGCATAGCCCCTGTACCTGGGTGTTGAGGGAGCACAGCATTGCTCCTGTCTGGTCATTGAGGGAGTGAAGCATAGCTTCTGTGGCCGGTCATATCTGAAGCATTGCCCCTGTAGCCAGGCATTGAGAGAGCGAAGCATCGTCCCTGTGACCTGGCATTGAGTGAGGAACCCATTGTCCCTCTGGTCAGGCGTTGTGCATCGCCCCCAGTCGCCAGGCGTTGAGAGGACAAAGCATTGCCCCTGTGGTCAGGTATAGGAAGGGAGGGAGAGAGAAAGCAAAGCATTGCCCCTGTGGCTGGGCATACATGTTTATATTAGCTAAAAGTAAAACAGGACCCCTACTTGCTGAACATCTGCTCTAAATTGTAAAATAAAAATGCGATAATTTATTTAATTAGAAATTGCTTTTATGAATAAGATATATTAAGTGCACTATTGTCTTATTTAAAAAAAAAACTTTTTGGATGAATAATAAATTTTTGCGTAAATTGTTGTCATTTTTCAAATTTTAATTAGAATGATTTATAAAGTTTTAAACCTTTTAAAGTTCTGTTTCAATGGTGTAACAGGTGATATTGTTATTAAATAATGGCTATATTTCTGAGATGAGGTATTATGTACACTATTTACATTATTCAAACTATTGTCCTCATCTTTGTTGCCATATTTATCACAACATTTTGGCCATTGTATGCTCCGGACTTCAAGTGGTTGGAATGTTGAACTGAACCCTTTATTTCACTCACTGGGGTAGACTGTAGTTCCACATCTAATGGATGTCAGTTATCAGTTATCTCTTGTTAATTTCCCTCTTTCTCCACTGTTCTCCACTGCCTTAGCTGGGTATTGAACTCACACTCTTTGGGTCCTGTCACTGGATCTAACTAACACCTTTATCAACTGTGCCATGTGTCCTTGAGGACAATAGTCCGAATAATATAAATAATAACAACTTTATCAGAAAAATAAGAGTGATAACTAAACTTAAAGCCAAATATTTAAAATTCAATAAAACTTGAATTACAGATAATATTTTCCTAAATTTTTAAGTTTACTGAAACCTTAAAAATGCTATAAAAAGGGCACTCCTGTTATATTCTTTAATTATTTTTTTTTACAGATATATCCATCTTAAAAAAATATTAGATAAATATCCATCATCAAGCTGTCAACACCCGAACAGCTTAAATAAATAGCTACTGCTTTGTTAAAAAATTACATTTCTGTGATATTTTAAAATTAAAGTAAATAATTTGTTTCAAATCAAATTAATTAAACTTTAAATGAGCTAATATTCCTCAAATAAAGTTTAAGAAAAATATAATTTATTTTTTTGTTTTTTTTCCCCGCTTTCTCGCACAGTAATTTCTGGCCTTTATGTCTATGTCTCTCTATATATGTCTATATCTCTGAGATGGGGTATTATGATTAATTACATTATTTGGACTGTTATCCTCATCTTCATTGCCATATTCACAACATTTTGGCTGTTGTACACTCCGGCTTTCTTCAGGTGATTGGAATTTCGAACCAAACCCTTTATCCACAAGGACACATGGCCCAGTGGATAAAGGCATTAGTTAGATCCAGTGACTAGACCCAAAAAGTTGTGAGTTTATTACCAAGCTACAGCAGTGGTGAACCAAAACTTGGAGAATTGTGTTAAAGAGAAATAACTGAGACATTTGGAAGAGGTATGGCATGTGGAACTAGAACAATCTACTCCAGTAGATGAAATAAATGTTTTTATACCCACATTGACCCTGTGTTAAAGAAAGTCATACTTCACCTTCACCTCGATTTATATGAGTATGTCTATATACCAATGCTTTTGCTGTGTATGTTTATATATGCATATCTGTGCACAAGGCGCAATGGGTAAATTGTCACCATTTTATATTTTTAATGTGCATTGTTTGTTTTTGGTTTTGTTGACTGCACAGTAGGGTCAGTTCGGCACCATCTGTGAGGAAAAGATCACCATGATGCTGTTCACACCCTCAAATATTTGGAAAGACTAGAAGCTCTAATACAAGCATTTAAAAGTGTTTGGGTGTCATTACTGAGGACAGTGCAGAGGATTCGGAAAGAGTTGGATGAGTCTAATGGTGATTACGAAGTTGTTTGGAGTGATCACTAGTGATGATGACGTTATGCCGCCATTCATCTTCCCAATATGTCTCAAACTCAACACAGGCCTACATCAAGTGCCTTGAGAAGGTAGTGCTGCCCTGGGTCAAGAGGTTGACTACTGGAAGACCCTATGTCTTGCCACAGGACTCTGCACATTGCCACACAAGCAGTCATGACTGTCAGACAATTTCTGCAACCACATCACCTCTTATATCTGGCCACCTAACTCCCCAGATTGCAACCCCCTTGATTTAGTTTAACAAGAATCCAACAAAACTCCTTGTAAGACCAAATGTGAACTGAACACAAAGATTATGGCAGCATTCACCAACTTAAACAAGGAGACCGTCCAGAAGAGTTGCAGGAGATTCCAAAGTCATCTGAAAGCCATGGTTGAAGCCAATATCGATTATATTGAATAAATTTACTCTTTAGTATTTCAAGATTTTTTTGTGTAATTTTAGTAAATATATCTGTTAAAATGACATGTCAGTGTTATTTTCATTTTGCATCATTTAGACAACAATTTATCCATTGCACCCTATATATCTGTTAAAATGAAATGTCACTGTTATTTTCATTTTGGCGACAATTTATCCATCGCACTCTATATATCTGTTAAAATGAGATGTCAGGGATTTTCAATTTTTGCGTCATTTAGACGACAATTTAGTTACAAAGGTAAAAGACTCCTTCTAATACCAAAGAAGAACTAAAATCAAGGATTATGGCTGCATTCACCAGCTTAACTGTCCAGAAAAGTTGCAGATTTCAAAGTTGTCTCGGGGCCATGGTTGAAGCCAATGTCGATTTTATTGAATAAATTTACTCTTTAGTATTTCAAGATGTTTTTGTGTAATTTTGGTAAATATATCTGTTAAAATGAGATGTCAGTTTTATTTTCATTTTTGCGTAATTTAGCCGACAATTTATCCATCGCACCCTGTATGTGAGCGTGTTTTCTCTTTGCTAATGAATTCCTTGCTTTACTCTGTCTGCTAATGTTTGTATTTCAATTTGTCTGCCATCATCTCCCTCTCATTCTTTCTTTTACTCCTCCCTCTCCACAAGCAGCCAGTCAACCATGACACTCTTCATCTATCCACTGAGATGATAGCACCCAAGTGAAAACTGCGGAGTGATTATCATTGTTCTCATCCCGGTTGCCATGGCTACTGTGACAATTACAGCAACAAAGTACAGCTACCAATTGTTCTGCTGAAGGGGTACAACATGGGTAGCTTGTTCGCCTTGTGCCTGGAGATGTTTTCATGCATAAAGACATTGCTAAAATATGTACCCAGAGTGGAAGGACATGGAAATTAGAAAATACACAGGCTGTGTATTAAAAGCCTGAAATTGATGACTGAGAGGAAGTGTGGCAAGGCAGACTGACACTCAGTGTGAAACTATATCCTGGTCTGCCTACACTCATTCTGACCATTGACTTTGTCACTGAGTGTCACAAAACAAAGAGTGCAGGTCGAGTGAGAGCTGTAAAAACAGGGCATGCCGGTCGAGTGAGAGCTGTAATAAACGGGGCATGCCGGTCGAGTGAGAGCTGTAATAAACGGGGCATGCCGGTCGAGTGAGAGCTGTAATAAACGGGGCATGCAGGTCGAGTGAGAGCTGTAATAAACGGGGCATGCAGATCAAGTGAGAGCTGTAATAAACGGGGCATGCAGATCAAGTGAGAGTCATGAGACAGGTGTGCAGATCAAGTGAGAGTCATGAGACAGGTGTGCAGATCAAGTGAGAGTCATAAAGCATACAAGTTAAGTATAGGTCTGCAGGTAAAACATTATGACCAAATTATACAATAAACATTTTACCAATGAACATTTTTATTGCACTTGTTATAATATAGATAATGGTATCTTCATTTATTATGTTTTTTAGGGATCACCTGCTGACCTGTAAATTTCACCTGTATATTCAATTATGATCTAAATATTTCATAAATGACCTTCTTTTGTTGTGCTTTTTTATGATTTTGTGAGCATGACTAATGCATTTTTCCCTGCATTTTACACAAAGAAAATATTCCAGAATTTTTACAGTTGTATGATTTAAAAATTGTGTTTTTTGGTTTTCTCAGCTCCCAAATCCTGGTTTGGTGGAAAGCCTCCTTGGGGAGGAGAACCTCGACACTACATTGGAATCACCATGCTAACTCTCATTCCTTCGATTCTACTCACTCTGAAACAACGTCTACCTGACTTCCCTAATGTAGATAATGGTATCTTCATCCATAAAGTTGTCATGGGATCACCTGCTGATCAGTAAGTTTCTCTTGTTGATTCAATAAAAACGGAAATGAAATAAAAAGAATGGGTAAAGTTTAACATTTAGCACCCTGCATCCTGTATAAATATTACTTCCCCTTTTACTGCATATAGAATCCCCTCAAAATATATAGTGTTTTATATATTACTTCTATATATTTGAAATTGCAGTAGCCTTGTTCTCAATTTCAGTCTAGATTGTTTTAGGTGTTGCCATAGAAGGGTATGGCTAAACAACCAAGAAATTCAAATTCAACTTGCATTGGCAAGACTAACATTTTGCTTGGTGAAAATGGTCACCTACAGAGTGCTAAAGTTTAACAAATGTACCCACAAAAAATGGTTTGTGTGTGCCAAAAAGATGTTTTGTTTTTTTTCTTCTTTTGACACCACTGTTACTGCATATTCCCTCAGCAATTTTTGTTGCTTTAAAAAGCTGCTTTTAGAATTTTAATAAAACCCAAAAATATTAAACCAGATTTATGCATCCCCCCCCAAATTGACAACAAAAGTATTAAACACTGTTCTTGTCATTAAACAGTTCAATAACTACACCCTTGAGCAAATTAATTGAAACAACCACTTTAGTTTCCTTTCTTTCACTATACAATTAGTTTTAGACCCACTGAAGTTACAGGGTGTAATCGATTTCTATTTTTTCCTCAGATTAGGTCATTTGCAGTGGTGTGCAGTAATATGAATCTATTTTTGGGGTGTATGATGAAATTTGTTTGACCTTGAAAATATTCGTCATCCGTGATTGCATCAGATTTTCATCACACCCAGACACTATTGTCTCAACTGTTGATTAGTTGTCCTACAGCCATTGTCTGTGATAGACATTACTCCAAGGAAGCATATGAAAATTGTAATGCTTCACAAACACATTGGCGAGTTTTACCAGTGAGCAAATCAAAGTACTATAGACTGACCCAAAAACTCTTCTGATTCAAATCCAATCAAGAATCTGTGGTCAATCTGCAAGGAACGACTTCATGGACTGGACATATGAAATACTAACATGGGCACTTGGGCTTGTTTCATTTGAAAAAATATGGAAAAAAAAAGTAAATAATAATGGAATTATTTGTGTTGTTTCAATTAATTTGCACAACTGTGTGTGTGTATATATATATATATATATATATATATATATATATATATATATGTCTGTATGTGTGTTTAACATTGTTGTTAATTCTTGAGAAAAAAAATACAAAAATCTAGATATTCACAAGCTATTCTACTAAATTTATGTTGGTTAAGTAAATGAAAGAAATGCCTAGAAAATTAATTTTTTTTTAAATTGATAATTACATTTACTTGTTATGTGTTGACAAAAATTTTCTTGTTTATATTTTTTTATAAATTTTGAAGTAAAAAAAAATTTGTTTGCATGGTTATTTTATAATATGATGAATATTGAATTGTAAATATAAAATTATTTTTGTAAATAAAAAATCTAATAAAATAAACAACGTTTAATTCTCAATAAAAAAAAGAATGCATAAATTCAGTTTCATATGTCTGGACTTTATTAAGATTTTGGAGACAATAAAAATTGTCTAGAAAGTCTAAAGTAATAGTGATGTCAAGAGAAAAAGCATCCGTTTAACACACCATTTATTTATTTTTTTTTTTAAACCAGTACAACACAATCTTTATAATCTACATCTTTTGGGCAGAAACTCCTCATTTAAAAGTGTTAATAACTTTATTAATTATTGGTCGCTTTTCGTAAAACGAGTTTTATTTTAAACAGTAAAATGTTAGAAGTAAAGTATGGTGTTATAATTCTACAGAGATATTAGTGTTGTCCACCAGTGTTTGTTGCAATATGTCTGGGTATATCCTTGAACATTTTATGTACCTTTTGCACATTTTGTTCCAATCTGAATCTTTAAGGATGGTCACTTTTGTGGGTATCTACTCCAGATCTTGTACTCATCAGCTCGGAATGACAATTTCTGATGGTTTTGGCATCTACTGAAGCACAAGGTCCATGAAACACTGTGCCACCATCTCTGCAGTTGTACCATGGGCTGTCACTCACTCATACAGTGTCAGGTTGTGTCATTCTGAGCTGTACTTGTCACTCTGAAAGAAAAACAGAAATTAACAATAAAATTCTAGCACTTTAGAGAAAACAATATATCAAGAATCTCCAACTGACGCCAATTCAGCTGGGTTTCAATCATAGCTAGAGGCAACCAGACATCTAGCTATACTGATGAGCTGTGATACAGCGAAACAGTCTGTCTGTGGATGACACACATATATATACCTAAGTATAGGATTGGTGTATACAGAATAAATTCCAATAACCAACAATTACTATTCTTAAAAGAGTGCTCAATACAGAGTAGAGTGAATATAATTATTTATTTAAAAATTATAACAAATATGTTATAAAATCACTACAAAAATAGCCATTTTGTTTCAACACCTCTGGTGTCTTATATATATATATATATATATATATATATATATATATATATATATATATATATATATATGTTTGTAATCAAGAGAACCAGAAAATTTGAATAAGCACTAAACTACGAGGAACTATATAATTATGAATTTTGAAAAAGATGCATTTTCTGAACATTTCTTTCATTTGCTTACACTTAGATTTGGCAAAAGACCAGAATTATGGGGCACCTAGTGAGGATTGAACTCTCTAGTCAGTCATAATTGATCTAGCAAGAAAAGTTTGCTAACCATTACACCATCTTGAATGACTTGATTTTCTACCACTTTAGGGATCACAATATATATTTCTTTTTATTCATACAAATGTATTGAGTAACAAAAGTTATAAGTAATTTTCAAGAGGGAATTTCTTTCCAGCCACCCATTTTTATATATATATATATATATATTGATATTGATAATATTAGTGGTTAATATACACATACATATATGTACATATATATAAAACACACAAATATATATACACACACACACACACACACATACATATATATATATATATATATATATATATATATATATATATATATATATATATGTGTGTGTGTGTGTGTAAAACAATTCCAAGAGGATAGAATCCAGGTAGAACTCAATGTCCAGGACAGAGTAAGGATATAACACTAACAGGCTTAAACACTAGTACTCCATGGTCATAATTTATTACATTGGAATTGTAAATACAATCCAATTCATTGGACCTATAAATTCAAAAAGAAATCAGAAAAAATAACTCCAGGAATAAAAAATAAAATTTAGCGAGAGTGTATGTATGAGAGTGTGGGATGAATGCAAGAGTAAATGAAAGCTATAGGGAGGGGTAACAGACGAGAGGAGAAGAGGAAGGTCTAAAGGTGAAGGTGGGGATTAAAATTTAACAGAAGTTTTAAGGAGGGGAGTCAGATACAAATATATATGAATATTCTAATATGTCTAATACATTTTTGAATCGCTGACCTAAAATAAATTAAAGATAGACACCAGAAAAGAGTAGACATTTTGTGGTATGTAACAAGAAAATTTAAATAAGCACTAAACTATGAGTAACTATATGAATTTTGAAAAAAATGAATTTTCTGAGTATTTCTTTCATTTGTTTACACTACATAAATTCATTAAAATAGTTTGTGAGCATCGAGATTTATACTGTTTTTTTTTTTTTGTTTTTTTTTAAGATTATTTTCAAGCATAGATACATTTGTTAATTCTCAAGGAAAAAGGAGAATGCATAAATTAAGTTTTCAGTGATTTTCTAAGCAAAGCTTAGATGTGGCACAAGGCCAGAATTATGGAGCACCCAGTGAGGATCAAACTCACTACTCAGTCATAATTGATCTAGCAAGACAAGCTTGCTAACCATTATGCCACATCAAAGTTCCCAAATGGTGTTTTTTTTTTTTTTAAATGTAGCCTAGATGTGGCACAAGGATGAAAGTATTGGGCACCCAATGAAGATTGAACTTATTATTTAGTCATAATTGATCTAGTGAGACAAGCTTGCTAATCATTACACCACATGAGTGCCCTGATTTTCTAAGCAAAGTTTAAGTGTGGCACAAGGCTAAAAGAAAGGAAGATCAGACTCTCTGTTCAGTCATAATTGATCTAGCGAGACCAGCTTGCTAACCATTACGTCATGTCGAAGTGCACATAATCAAGGTTTTATGTATTTGGGTTTAATTGTCATTCTAAAAATAGTTTTTGAAAATAATAAAAATTTCTGAGGGTATATATACAGTAACAGTTGTGTCGAGAAAAATTTTTTTTTTTTTTTTTTTTTTTTGTGGGTACAAATGTTAAACTTTGCAAAAATTTCTTTATAAATTCAAAATCAACTAAAAATGGAAACACAAAATAAAAAAGTCAAGATTAAGAAAATTTTTAAGATATTCATATTTAATATTATACAAATTACTGCAATAAATTCCATTTTAAAGCAAATACCTACAATATTTGATAGCATATAAAAAATGATTTAACTTAATGACATTTATGACTGTATTTATGGAATTAGATGAGGTAAATGCAAGTAAGTGTACATGTTACCTTAATGTTGCATGGTAATATATTTCATTTTTTGGTGGGTGGAGGATGACATACTGTATGTCATTCAATTATAATAATATTAATAATATTCAAATTATTGAATTTGACATGCCTTAATTTTCCAAATCAACCATCTACTTATTTTAATGATTTAATACAAAAAATTTTGAAAAAAAAAAAAAAATTTCTGAACATTTCTTTCATTTGCTCTCACTATATAAATTCACTAAAATAATTTATGAGCATCTGGGCTTATACTTATTTTATCTTTTTCTTTCTTAACTCATTAAATAAAATCCATTAATATAAGAATTAAAATAAGACCAACATTTATTATAGGCCCCTAAAAAAACAGAATAAAATGGTATTATAGGTTTCTACCTGTAACTCATTAGTAACCACTGTCTCAAAAAATGCTTAACCTATTTATTCATACTATAAAATCTTGTATTAATTATAGGTTTATAAAAAAAAAATCTTGTATCATAGGTTCATTAAAAAAAAATCTCATAGTTAAATGTTTATAAAAAAAAAAAAATTTGGTATTATATGTTCATAAAAAAAGTAATCCAATATTTATCACCATCATCATCCCCCTTGACTTTTGTAATCATATGTATATGTTGGAGGTGGGGAGGTGGTATCCGAATGCAGAAGCCACACTAAATCTCCTCCACAACAGTCTATTAAAGGCAGCCATCAGCAATTCTGGTATAATCATACGTGTCCATTGTTTAACATTGTCCAAACAGTTTTTGCATTAGTGTCTTCTCCTATGTCCATCTTCTCGTCCTGGGTAAGACATTAAACTACGTCCAGCAGCAAGGCCTCTGATCAGGAGGTTTTGAGGAGCATGGAACTACCTCTTAATTGCTGATGTTCCCAGGGTGGTAACACCTATTAGGATCCCAGCTATGGGAAAATAGTTAACTATTACCAGCAATACTTTTTTGAAGAGAATTATTGCCAGCAATCCAATTTTGAAGGAAAAATATTACCAGAAACAGATTTTTGACAAAACAAAATATTACCAGCAATAAAAGATGTTGTCGGCTTTGAATGACCCATTGAGGTTGACATGCCGCAAAACAAAATAAACCAAACCAAAGAATACATAATTTATCCTAAAAATATTGTTGGCATTAAATAACCCATTGAGGTTGATATGCTGTAAAACAAAATAAACCAAACCTATGTCCATCTTCAACAGTGCTTTGCATGATGGTCTTGCACAGACTGTCAGGCCTTGTAATGTGTCCAAACCATGCCATTTTTCTCCATTTGACGGTGACAAGAAAAGGTTCCTGGTGGCCCACAAAAATTTCAACTCTCTTCCGTACAAACTCATTGGTTTTATGTTCCTAATAGAAGATGCCAAGGAGTTTTCTCATGCATTTATTCTCAAACATTTGGATCCTTCTCTCTGTATCTGTCAACATTGTCTACATTTCACATCCATATAGGAGAATAGAGACTACCAGCAATTTGGTATTATATGTTCATAATAAAAATTCCAATATTATAGGTCTAAAAAAAATCCAATATTAATTGTAACCACATAAAAGAAAAAAGAAAAAAAAATGTATTAATTATAGGCTTACAAAAGATTGAGTTCTACCTGTAAACCCATTAATGTAGGCTGGTAGATCTTCCTAGTCTTTATTTTTGGTCTGCTTTTTTCTCTGGTTTTCACTCTCTTATTCTCTGAAATAAAGTGTTATGACTAAAATGCCCAAACCTTAAGAGACAGCAGTACATTGTATGGGTTTTGCCTTTCCTTCTTTCCAGGAATAGCCTCAACTGGTGTGTGTGTGTGTGTGTGTGTGTGTGTGTGTGTGTGTGTGTGTGATGTAATAGGTAAGAAGGTAGCATAGCTGTGGATGTAGATAGGATTTAACGCCATTCAATCAAAATTCGATTGTTGAAACCAGAAAGATGTTGTACTCTATCTTAAAAGTGGAAACTGCGCTGGGTTTTGTCTAGGACCAACAGTAGCAAGAATAAACCAGGAATTTATGAATTCCTGATAATACAGATGCTACCCAAAAGTGATGCAACAAAAAGGATTACCAATGACTAACAAGAATGGTCATTACACAGTGAAGAGAAAGAGGGCATCAAATCATATCCTATTTCAATGCTTTTTTATACTAACGTTCACTCAATAGAAGGTTTGATAGCAACTCAAGGCAGAGGATTACTGATATGTGATATGAATATAAGACAATGTTAAAGGAAGTGAAGATTTTGAGAATAAGAAGGATAGATGACAAGTAACATTGATCTGAAGAGGTTAGGATTGTAGTGTTCATGAAAGTGTCTATGTGAGAATTTGTTCTACAAAGTAGCAATTCTTGAGGAAAACCTTTCTGAGTGGAACTTCCTCTTTACAATTGGAGTAAAAAAGAAATGCAGCTGATTCAACTCCATGGATGTATCATTGTGTTTCGTAACTATAAAGTCTGAACTAGTGGCACTAAAGATTGAAGCTCATCAGAACATTTGCCATGGAAATAGTGGGAGAGTAGAGACATTGCTTCTATAAGAAAGGAGTCAAACTTTGTAAATGATTTTGAATTCTATCAAGGCTGGAAAATGAATATTGAGGTGCTCTAGCAGAGATATGGCAGCAAGACACAATTATTGATCTAATCTGACTCTGGCTATCATAAAGCATGGTAGGAGGAGGAGGAGACAGGTACTTTAGAGAGAAAGAGAATGAAACTACCATTTTTACAGCATTTTTAGCAATCAATCATACGTATGAATTCCATGTGAGGTTTTCTCTTTTTTTTTTTCCTTTCTTTTCCTCCCATTTTCTTCCCCTCCCTCCCTCTTCCTTCTTCCCCAGTTTCTTTTCCCCTTCTTCTTTCCCTTTCTCTTTCTTCGACTATCTTTCTTCCTTCCACCCTTTCTTCTTCCTCTTCTTCCTTCCACCCTTTCTTCTTCCTTCCTCTTCTTCCTTCCACCCTTTCTTCTTCCTTCCTCTTCTTCCTTCCACCCTTTCTTCTTCCTTCCTCTTCTTCCTTCCACCCTTTCTTCTTCCTTCCTCTTCTTCCTTCCACCCTTTCTTCTTCCTTCCTCTTCTTCCTTCCACCCTTTCTTCTTCCTTCCTCTTCTTCCTTCCACCCTTTCTTCTTCCTTCCTCTTCTTCCTTCCACCCTTTCTTCTTCCTTCCTCTTCTTCCTTCTTTTTCTCCCCCACTTCTTCTCTTTCTTTTCTTTTTCTTTTCTCCTTTCTTCTTTAGGAAATCAGCTGGCTATCTTGAGGAAGACAACTGCTATGAATCCTGAAATTTCTTAAAGACAACAAAAGTAAGAGGTGAAGAAATGAGAAAATATGAAAATTTTACTGCAAATGGCATATTATCATTTCTTCCCATGCATAACAAATAAATTTAAACAGGTCTTACCAAAATCACTCAGTCTGTCATATCTGAAGCCCATATAAAATGAAGTAAAATATGCCTGAGAAAAAAGAACTTCCTGGAAGCTATAATATATCTCAGGTTAATCTTAGATATTATATATTATTGGTAATTAATGTTGTCTGTTAACTTTTAAGTTAAAAACTTATGAATAGGAACATAACCGAAACATTCATCTTATTAAGAAATAGAAAACATAAAGTGACAAAAGTCCAAGTGTCCAGATATATTTATAACTGATTTTGACCAACACAAAACAAATTTAATTCACTAAGATTTTAGAATTTATTCATCTCAGATGACCAAAACAAATAATTTGCCTGCATTAATGTGAAAATTTATACTGAGATCTGGACAGCCATATACAGGGTGACCCAAAAAAACGGAAACTTTTTAACACTCCAATAAAACCAAGAGTGATGGAAGAAAAATATTTTATTCATAGTAATTGAAACCTTAAAACATGCCATTTAAGAAACAATGATGGAATTTTCATTTTTTTAAAATTACGTCCTGTAAATGGTGTCCTCCTGTACGAATGCATTCTTGAAATCTGCTGTTGAGATTCTTCATTGACTGCTGCAACATCTCAGCTGGGATACTGTGAATTTCATCTTGAATTCTAAATGGCAAAATGTTTACTTGCTCCAGGTCCCTGTCTCGCAGTGTTGCCATTTGCTCATGTCTGGCAATACGCACTTCAAAAATTCCCGTTTTTGGGGGTCACCCTATATATGCCAGGTCTGGTTCAAAGGCTATGATTTTAGAAATTGGCTGGAAAAGCCTAGATCCGAATCACACCATCAGAGAGCAGCCACACAGTGCTACTGCCATCTTTTGGTAAAACATAAAATTGCATTTCTTGGGTGTGTACTTTACATATTCTGATTGAAAATACTGGCAGGCTGTAAGTGATACATTCTATGACAGGGGAGGGGGGGCATATGAAACTTGATCTCAGGCTGAACTTTGGACATGCATGCCCTAAAGGATTGAATAATGGGTTTGGTTTTGTTTGGAATTACTGAGAAAAAAAAGGCTCTCCACTTTACAGATAAAACAAAACGAAACCACATAATCACTGGGTTAAATAAAGATTTCTATTTGACAATCGCAGATGAGCAAATGTGACGGATTTTCCAAAAGGCTAACTTGTTTTGTATTTTTATCAAAGCTTTAAAAATCTGCACACACACATCTTATATATAAAGTGTGTGTGTGTGTGTCCAAGCAACTCCTCCACTTCCACTGGTCCGATTTCAATGATTTGTAGCTCATTCAAAAGCCCTAGAAAAGTTAGGTGCAGGGAATGATTTTCGTTGAGCTCAGATTCAGGGTTGCCGGATTATGCAAGGTTAAAAATATATATTAATATATTATACTAGCCATTATCGCTGCTTTCATAGTTCAAGGGGAGTAACTCTTATTTTGCTTCTGTATCCAAAATTGCAGTGCATGTTTTATTATGAACTAGTTTAAAAGCCACCCTATCAGGCAGTATTTAAGCTAGCTCCTGTGGTGGAGCTTTGTTTGGCCATCATCACAATAGCTAGGGAGGAGTAGATGCGATAGAAAATAATTAACTACAGAAGAACTCAAAATTGATCGCTGCATTTAAGTATTGAATTAATGTTTAAGGTTACTTTTTAAAAGTTCAACTTATAATTCTTCTGCTGTAACTTAATTTAAAGATGATTTGATGTACATAGATGCTTATTTTCCATACAATTATTTTTATTTCATGGGTGACAACAAGGGACAATTTATAAGATAAAATTAATATAGTGTAAAGATGGGAAAATAGAAATTATAATTACTTATACATTCAATATTTGAAGAGTTAGAGAAACATAATAGCTAATTTAAGTAAAACATATTATGGAATATAATATATTAATATATATTTTTAACCTCGCATAATCTTGAAATGATCATTGACCATCGTAGGGTTTACAGGTACACTGCTCTTCCATGTTTGCTTTGTTGATTGGTATGCATTTATGTATCCTTCATATTTGTTATGGGTTTTTTTGGGGTTTTTTTTTCACTTCATGTTTATTTTTGGTTGTATTTTTCCACTCTCCTTGGACAGATCTCAGTGAGTTTGTGATTGGGTACTTAATAAGAAGGATTCCATGGTGGCCAAGAAAAGTTGAGAAATGGCATCCAGTGTGCATGGATTGAGAGTTGTGTAAAGTTGAGTACCCCGCGCTCACTAATGTATGAGTGCAGTAACTGCACTCGTAAGCATGCAAGCAACTGGCTAGTGTGTGTGTGTGTGTGTGTGTGTGTGTATATATATATATATTCTTAATAGAAATCTTATAAGTATAAGAAACTATACTCACTCGGAAAACCTTCGGTATATTGATTTGCAAATAAATAAGCCAATACCAAAGGGAAAAAAAGGTATAAAAAAAGAAAGGACCAAGAACATGTACGTTAACCGAAAAAAATTGTCCAGCATACGAGTTCAAGGCCCAAAGAAAAAAAAACCCCAATGTGAGTACCCAAAACAACTAAATAAAGTGCTCAATACAATGAGTAGAACAGACCTAGTTAAACCTAGAGAGCCAGACAAGCCTACCAAGTTTTCACCTAAGCGGATCGTCAGGGAAGACTGGAAGCCAGCCTTCACTGACGATCGGCTTAGGTAAAACTGTGGTAGGTTTGTCTGGCTCTCTAGGTTTAACTAATATATATATATAAAACAAAGGAGAAAAAAGCAAGGTCAAGAATAAAATCTACTCAAAAATGGTTGATCTAAAAAAATATAACAAAAAAAGGGCTCCTCTCTCTTCTGATCCAATTGAGGGCAAAAAATGTGCACAACAACTAAATTTTTTTGATTTTTTTTAAATTTAAAATATCCCTTTTATTCTTTTTTTTTTTTTTTTTTCTTTTTCTTTTTCTTTTTTTCAGGGCTGGTCTTAGGGAAGGGGATGTTATTGTCTCTGTCAATGGTAAAGCTGCAACTGAATCTTCAGATGTGTACAGGGCCATTGAATCTGGACAGTCATTAACTTTGACTATTTGCAGACGACACCAAACTTTCCAGGTGGTTGTCCAGCCAGAAGTTGTCAGTTGAAGCTATTATTGCCCACCCCCATACACTAGACTGGGATGAATGACTTGAATGGTTTGCATTTAAAATTAAAAAAATAAATAAAAATAAGAAAAGCACAGAATATCTCGCACATCTAAGATGTAGAACTGTTTCTACCTATTTCCATGGACTTCTTCAGGAATTCTTCTTTATAGTCCAGGTTAATATTGGTTGATGGCAAGTATTTGCTGATGCTTTCATTCCACTGTCTTTATCGATCTATCTTACCAAATTTAGAGCTTTAAGCTTGCTTAAAAACTTTAAGTGACTTTCTTTTTATTTTTTTATTTTCGTTAAGATTACATGTACCAGCTGTTGATAACTGATGATCAAGAAGCAAAACACCTGATGTATGATACATTGTTGAAAAAAAGGAAAAAAAAAAAAACATGTAAGAACATGTAGAAAGCTGAGTAAAATGTGTTTCAGGGGTTCAGGGTTTTTTTTTTTTTTTTTTTTTTATCTCCTCTCTAAAAAATTACTTCTCACAAAATTATACCTTTTTTTTTTTTTTTTAAGGAATTTTAAAATTTCTAAGATTGTGGGTTTATTTTTTTCTTTTCTTAATTATGATTTCTTTTTTGGGTTTGAGGATTTTTTTTATTTGTTTTGTTTTTTAGTTTTTTGCTTTAAGGAATTCTTATGTTCTTAGGAATTTATTTTTGCATTTTAGCAATTTTTCAATTTTAAGATTTTTTTTTTTCATGATTAAGATTGAAAAAATTGAATTAGCTTTTTATTTTATATATATATATATATATATATATATATATATATATATATTATGTCAGTGTCCATTTTGTCATGCACAAAATGACACACTTCAGCTTTACTTAATCAATCATGTGATGAAATTCCACTTAAATTATGAAGTATCTCAAGGGACAGTTGAAGTAAGGATAACCAAAAATGATAAAATTTGATATTGCCCACAATGCCAATAGCATATTCCCAACATTAAAACATTGTCATATAACAATATAAATAAATGCATTCTTGCATAAAATTATTAAATTTCTTTCTGCCTTTAATGACAGTCTTTTTTTTATTTTTGTTGATTATTTGTATATTATTTATTTTAAATATTTTTCAGTTACTTTTTTTCATAAAAAAGATGTTTAAAAACAATACTTGGTTTTTAATTATTCACATAAATCCTTGAAATATTTCTACAGACCACATTTAATGACATTTACTTACATTCAAAAATTCACTAAAAAATGAGTATACCAGGATGAAAAAGGCACCAAATTTGATAAAAACAAAGTTTTGTCGTCAAAATGTTTGGTCTTTCCTCTTAATAATAACAAAGTAATTATTAATTATTTTATTAAATTTTTTAATCCTTTCTAGCATGTTTAAAAATTTTGGTTAAAAATCTTTGTTTTCTTGAGACAACAGGTAAGGTTAAAGATTAGTATGAAGAATTTAGCATCTATGTTTTTTTTTTCAGTAAAAAACCCATTGATTTGAAAATTCTTTCAAAAATCAAAATTTTTGGATTTTAATGGAATTTACAGGATTTATTCACAAATAAATTATTTTTATTTATTTATTTTTTTACTTTTAATTTTTTTATATATGTTACCCCCCTATCAAATTTCAAGAAATTAAAATTCCAACCTCTTCATATTTATATTAGTTAAAAGCAGGAGTCCTTGGAGAATTTAAATCCTCAATTTGTTTCTGTTAAACAGAAACACCATTTACTGAAAATCTGCTCTGAATCATAAAATAAAAAATGCAATAAAATTATGACA